ATAGCAGTAAGGAAAAAAAGACCTGCTGAACAGAGAGCTAAGTTTTGTTACCATAATTCTTAACCTTCTCTCTCGTATTGGTTGAACCAGCATCAACGAGCATGTTCACCACCTCCCGCATGGTCGGCCGGAGTGACGGCAACGTGGTGGTGCAAAGGACGGCGACCTTCAATACTTTGATCATGTCTTCTTCTGCAAATTTGGAGATTTTAGGATCCAGAATTTCTGAAAGTTTCGAGCTGTTGAGGAGAGAAGAGACCCAGTAGACAATATCTTTTCCTTCCCCATATTGAGGTTCGATCGGGCTACGACCAGTGAGTAGCTCGAGAAGAACGACGCCAAAGCTGTACACATCGCTCTTCTCAGTCACCTTTAAAGAGTATGCCAATTCTGAGAAGTGATTATACAGGATTAGTGAGTACTAGATACATCGAAATTATGGGGTATGTATGTAAATCTTCCTAATATTATTAATACCGAGTCAGATATGACTGATCTGTAGAGGTTGAACAAATGCATGTGTATTTATCAATACTTTGAAAGATCAACATGTGGTTAAGAGAGTGAAAGAATTTGAATAATCGGCAAGAGTGTGAAAATTAGAGCCTTGGAAACTTAATGAGGTGAAAATGCTCTTTTCGTTAGTGATTATTTGATGGGATGCATTTTTAGAAAACATGCATTTTAAAAATACAATTTCACTTAGTGGGACAAAGGTTTGTTGTTGTTATTGTTGTTGTTGTACAATAGCATCAATTCTAAATGAATCATTGTTTCCATTATATTATTTCACTCGGAAAAGAATGATGTGTATCAAATGTGCATATTATCTCTATAATATTTTTATCCTTCTGTGTATTTTTTATGTTTTATGTGATTATTTTAATGTTTCATGCAGTAAACAAGTGATTAAGACAACTTGTGGAGAAAAGGAGATGAAATAGACTCAAAAAGAGTTGAATTGGCGCCTAGGTGTCAAACATTCTTAACTTAATTTACTTCTAAACTGGTCATTTAAAAAGTTAGTATCACATGTGATCTAGGACTTCTAATGTTGACTAGAAGAACAAGTAGGTTAACACATAGTAACCTCGTGGAATAGATAGTGTCACAACGAGATTGTAACCAAAATAGGAGGCTATAATATTCATGAAAAGTTTTGTATGGTTAAGTACCCTTAACTATAATAAGAGTTTCCAACACTTATTATGATCTCGACGAAGGCTAGGTATTTATCTTTAGTTGTCAAGGATAATGCGGGGAATTCATAGGAATAATATTAAGGATTTACAAAATCTACGTCACAAAAATATGATATTTCATCTAATAAAAAATACTCCAAAAATACAGATAAGTTCTAATTATTAGAAATCTATACACTTTTCAAAACAAAATTTAACACTTAAGCTAAACTAGAGGTTTAGTAAACTAAAAATTCAACTAATTAGAAAATTTAACAAGTTTTCGGTGGAATCGATACACAAACTCAGATCGATATATTAATTGAACGACTAGGTTTAATAAGATAGATGTGGTCTAGACCAGCCATATCCATCCGGTCTGGCCAAGCTAGAGAGTCATAATCTCTAAGAGCTACTGAGGACGATGGGCACAACCTCACATAAAAGAGGAAGGGAATTAAAAGGATATTTGGGAGGAAAGTTTGAATGAATCTTGGAGAGTGTTTATTAGAGCTAATTGGACTGGGTTTGTTTGATGTTTTGATTTGCCATAATTTTTCTTCTATTTTTGAGTTCTTAACGACGTGTAGAGTTTGTGGAGAGATTATTTACCTCTCGAATTGTATATCATCAATTGTACTTGTATGTTTGCTTTCATATTAATTAAATTAGCCCTATCTTGTGTTTTCCAGCATATCTATTGCAATTTGCTCACTGAATTTGACTGCAGTTCATATCATCATCCAAGTTTTATGTATCTCAAAAAATTATTCCCAACATCTTTTAATAAAAAAATGTTGGGTTATTTCAATAGAAAACAAGTCATCTATCAAAACACACCAAGTATATTAATACTAGCTATCCACATAAGCCTCTCAACCTTTAACTATATTTGTAGTGACATTTGTGGGATCTCTCGTGTTACAAATATCTCTACGGCTAGGTGGCTCATATCATCGAACTTCTTGGATTTTCATAAATCCTATCAACTTTTTTCTATGATTCGTAGTGACAGTTTGGAGCCATTTCGTGTTACAAATATCTCTGGGCTAGGTATTCCATATTTTTATAAACAATCATACAAGAACTACTTGGACTTTCTTAAACAAATACAAATATAAAAATACATCACAATGTTGAGAAATTTCATCTCCACATACAAACCCAAATTGAATTTCTCAATACAAACAATGAGAAAATGTTTTCATTCAATCCTTGAGGATGGATATCTTCTTCAAAAAGGGATTGTATGCTAAGACTCCTATAGATACAATATTCAATAGAATGGAATCACCGAAAATAAAAATAAACATCTTCTGGAAGTTAATAGATCCGCAATGAACACTAATTACATTCCAAATCATCATTGGGGAGAAGTCGTTCTCTGTTGCATATCTTATTAATCGAATACCATCAAGAATTCTCCAAATAAAACACTTTGCCAAGTCCTCATTAAAACTTCTCCCCCAAACAGACTTATCTTCACTGTTCCACTCAATGGATATTCTACTTCTGTTCATATCCTACCTCATGAATGAAGGAAACATGATAAAAGCCATTGTATGTAACTTTGTAAATAATTCTCCCAACCAAGAAAGATACTAATATTATGATTCTAGGAATAATAAATATTATATTCTATGAATGTGACATTTTTTTAAAAGCAACCCTTATTAGAAAACTCACATTTAAAAGAGTTCCAACACTATTTATGAATATGAGTTTTGTATTCATCTCTCTTTAAACCCCAATTTCAACTAAACCTGCTTGAAGTTTAGTCCCATAATTTTCCTAAAGATTAATCCCCTGAACACGTTAAGAATTCTCAAGATCACTTGCAATAAACTATGAATTTATGGTAGATGTCAGAAAAATTCAACAAATATTGGTGAACCAAGCATTCCTCCATTGCGAAACCACCCATTTGAAGCAAGCCCCAATCATGCCTCACAAAATAACATTAATGCTGACATTGATATCCTGATTGCTCATAAGAAAGGAACACGGGTAATAAATAATAAATCTTTTACAAAATACCCAATCAGTGAATACATTTCTTACAAAAACTTATCTCTTTGGTTCCAAATTTTAACAACTAATCTCACTAATAATCTGACTAATATGGACATCCCCAATAACATTTAGGTGTGGTTAGCCAATTTATAAATACTCTCAATAATTGATAAAAAAATTTCCTCCGATTGTTGCCTATGTGTGTGAGGAAACCTAGTCACTTGGAGAAGTAAAAAAGAAAGCAATTTTAGCTGAAAGGAAGGGGAAAAATTTGCGTACGATGGACGTAGTCAACGCTGAGTATGATTTCTCGGTATACCGAGGGTATAACCTGGTTATATCCATGGTATAACCCATTGTAATATCCATATAATATTTTGTAACTTATTTGTAACCTACTATATATGATAACAGAAGCACGAAACTTATTTGTAGGTTACAAGTAGTTTACACTAGGTTACATAGAGGTTACAAGGGGTTATAACACGAGTATAACCCCTTATACCCTCCCTGTAGCCTCGAAATCCCACGCAGCGCTGCGTATGTCTATCGTACGCAATTTTTTTCCGAAAGGAGGGCCGAAGTAGAATTCATGGTCATAGCTCAAAATTTGCAAAGAGATGTAGCTAAAAAGTTTTTAGATGACCTAAATACCCACATTAAAGAATCAAAATTAGTATTATGTGATAATCAAGCTACGATTAGCATTGCAAAAGCTCCAGCCCAGCATTATAGAACTGAGCACGCTGAAATTAATAGCGATTTTATATAAAAAAAATAATCAAGAGGTCATTCAGATATAATACACTTACAAAATTCTAACTGACAAACTGTTGTGAAAAACGAAGGCAATAAAACGAAAATTAGAATGAGAAAATTGCAAACAAAAAACAAAAAACACAAATTTACATCATTCGACAAATTTTATACGTCCACGGAGTTGTAGATGATTTTATTTCTTGAGGAATTACACCGTCATCGATAGCCTCGACGATTACAAGAAAAAACTCTCCCTCTCTTTCTCTCTCTCTCTCCTCTACCCACTGCAATCAACAACTCCTAATTCCTCTGTCTTCACCGCAAGCCAAAGCATCGAAAACCAAAGGGAGGCCTTCCTTGCTATGTCGCGAAAAAGGAGACGGGTTTTTCTTCTTTTCGCGAAAACAATGAAGAGGCAGAGGTCTGATTGAGAGAGAGAGGCGGCAAGTGAATTAACATATATAAGGAATTATATTAAAAGCAATTTAATCAACTTCCATAGATGCCAAAACTACCAAATCGAAATAGTAGACCGAGCTCCACAATACTCAACAATTTCCCACTTGGAGACTGGGACACTAGCTGCATCACCCATTAGCAACTCAAAGCCCATGTTTTCATGCTAGACGATCAACTGAAGTTGAGCACGATTTCAGTTTCTCAAAAATAACATCCTTAGTTAACATATCATCAGGGTTCTTGTTTCCACAAATTTTCTCAAGTAGTAATTGTCCATCATCTAACAATGATCAAATGAAGTGGTATATGATCTGAATGTACTTAGTCATGAATTGAAATGTTGGATTCCTGGTAAGGAATATGGTGCTCTGACTATCACTGTAGAGAGTGTCCTTTTGATTCTCCTTATTCAATTCCTCCAAAATGCCCTGTAGTCATATCATCTCCTTTGTAGCCTCTGACTGCAACATACTCGGTTACTGTAGTAGACAAAGAAATTGTTTTCTATAAATTTGAGCCCCATGATAGTGCAGTGTCACCAAGAGTATAAAAATAACCTGTAATACTCCTTCTACTATCAATATCTCTGACTAGATCAACATCAACGTAGCTCAGTACCTCTAAACTCTTTCATGAGAAACACAAGTAAGTTTATGAAAATCCTCTTAGGTACCTCAAGATCTACTTCACAACTTCCCAATGTTCCTTTTCCTGGGTCACTAATGTATTTGCTTATAACTCTCACTGCATGGGCAATATCCGGTCTTGTGCAAACCATAACATACATAAGTGAACCAATAGCTGAAGTTTAGGGAACCTTACTCATGTGGTTTCTTTCTCCTCTGAATGGGTGACTGGTTCTTGCTGAGTCTGAAGTGACTACTCAAAGGTGTGTCAACTGGTTTGACCTTGTCTATATTGAACATGTTGTGTAACTTTTTCACATACTTAGTATGTGAGAGTCTCAAAGCACCTTTGATTCCGTCTATGACAATTCTCATGCCAAAGATTTGTTTTGTAATTCTCAAATCCTTCATTGCAAAGTGCTCTGACATCTGCTTCTTCAGATTATTTATCTCATCAATACTGGCTCCTAAAATAAGCATGTCATCCACGTACAACAGTAAAATGATATAAGAATTGTCAAAATGTCTTGTATAACAACAATGATCTGTCTGACATCTGTTGTACTCTGCATTGTGCATGAAATTATCAAATTTCTTGTATAATTGTCTAATGCTTGCTTCAGGTCATACAAGCTCTTCTTTAGCCTGTAAACTGAGTCTTCCTTTCCCTATACCACAAACCCCTCAGATAGGTACATGTAGATTTCTTCTTTAAGATCTCTAAACGTAAAATGATATAAGAATTGTCAAAATGTCTTGTATAACAACAATGATCTGTCTGACATCTGCTGTACTCTGCATTGTGCATGAAATTATCAAATTTCTTGTATAATTGTCTAATGCTTGCTTCAGGTCATACAAGCTCTTCTTTAGCCTGTAAACTGAGTCTTCCTTTCCCTATACCACAAACCCCTCAGGTAGGTACATGTAAATTTCTTCTTTAAGATCTCTATGAAGAAAGACTGTTTCATATCTAATTGTTCAATGAATAGATCTTTGGTAACCAACATGAATAGTATTATTCAGATGGTTGTGAGCTTTACCACATGAGAAAATCTCAGAATAATCAATACTCAGCCTCTACTGAAAGCCTTTTACAACAAGTCTAGCCTTGTACCTTTTACTGTTATCATGTTCAATTTTCACCCGGTATACTCACTTGTTGTGCAATGCCTTCTTCCCAGGTGGAAGTGCTGTGAGCTCCCATGTATGATTTCTAACAAAGAATCAATCTTTTCATTCATGGTCAGTTCCCACTCGCTCGAATTTTCATGTTGCAAGGTTTCTTGAAACATAAATCTGATGTATTTAATGTGTTCAAAATTTGGAAGGTCATGGTTGAGACAGAAACAAACTTGAAACTGAAATGTTTGAGATCTGACAATGGTGGTGAGTATATTGATTGTAGGTTTAAAAAGTATTGTGCAGTTCAGGGTATCATAATAGAGAATATCATTCCTGAGAAATCACAGCAAAATGGAGTTGCAGAATGTATGAATAAGGCCATTAATGAGCGGGTTAAAAACATGAGATTGCACGTTGAACTACCATCAATTTCCTGGGCAGATGCGATCAACACAGCAATTTACCTAATCAACAGAGAGTTATTTGTTCCATAAAAGATGAATTTTCTTTCCAATAATGGAAGATAAAGTTTTTTCTCATAGAGATGGTCCTCTATCTGCATCCTCCAATGATCAAAATTAGTGTCATCAAATTTCTCGATTCCTGATACCTTCACTTCGTCTCCAGCTATCGCTTTCTTTCAGATCCGAACCGTGACTCTGGTACCAAATTATTTGAAAAACGAAGACAATAAAACGAAAATTGGACGAGAAAATCGCAGAACAGAAGCATAACACACAGTTTTACGTGGTTCAGCAAATTGTCTACGTCCACAGAGTTCCAGAGGATTTTATTTCTTGAGGAATTAAACCGCGTCGATCGCCTCGATGATTACAAGAAATAACTCTCTCTCTCTCCTTTACCCGAGAACCAACCAAAAAGACAAACCAAAGAGAAAAGGAAGTCTTCACCACAAGCAACAACTCCCTCTTCCTCTGTCTTCACCGCAAGCCAAAGCACTGAAACCAAAGGGAGGCCTTCCTTGCTGTGTCGCGAAAAACGAGTCAGTTTTTTATTCTTTAGCAAAACAATGAAGAGGAGTGAGGCGGGATTGAGAGAGAGCGGCAACAAGCGAATTAACATATATAAGGAATTATATTAAAAACAATTTAATCAACTTTCATAAATGTCAAAACTGTCAAATCGAAATAGTGGACCGGGCTCCACAATTTCATATCCTAAATTTCATGCTAGAAATACAATTTCAATTTGACGGGGAATGAAAATTTTGCAAGGAAGCCTTGTTCCGTATGATCCACCTCAACAATCCATCATAATTTTCTATTCCTTACAAGATTCTAATTAAATATAGAACTATTAAAGTGTATATTTTAACACCAATAAATATATTCATTTTCAATGGGAAGAAGCGACGAGATAAGATTCATCTTCTTTTCTTCTACTTATTATCTCTCTTTTTTTTTCTTTCCTTTTTTTCTTTTTAGAAAAAAGTTAACTCTCATTGATTATAGAACTAGTAAAATGCATATTGTTTTATATTGGATGAGTACCAGAATACGAATCATATTCTTCTCTTCTGCTTCTTGTTTATTAATTTTCGTAGAGAAGCAAGGTTTTTGATGCATTCAAATCCCTCAAAATTTTACTTTAGATCTAATTTGCTTCATACTGAACGCCAAAAAAGTTGGAATGCTAGGAAAAAAATTACAATACAGCCCTCATGCTGCCGACCAAAAAAGTTCTTAGAACAAATGAAAATTAAATAATCCAGGTTTACTAATACTGGTATCTAATATAATCTAAGAGCAATTTACCGAGAAGCATTGTGACAGCAGTTGGCAACTTATTAGGAGCTAGAGTATTAAGTAAACTTACCAGGAGCCATGTAGCCATGAGTACCAGCAAAACAATTCAAATCTTCATCCTCTATGATCTTTGCTATGCCAAAATCAGCAATTTTGGCTTCATATTCCTCATCAAGCAAGATATTGGTGGATTTTATATCCCTGTGAATGATGGCTGGAGAACAATCATGGTGGAGATACATGATTCCTTTTGCAGCACCAACGGCAATCTTATACCGTTTGTGCCAGTTCAACTCTGGCTGCCCAACCTTGATTTCACGTCGTAGAGCACAATACAAATTCCCATTCTGCATATACTCAAAAACAAGAAAATTTAACCCATCTCTTGATAAGCAGGCATAAAGTTTGAGTATGTTTCTATGTCTGATCTTTCCAAGGATATCTATTTCTGCAATTGAAACTTTTGCACCATCATCCTTCCAAAGTTGTTTAACTGCCACTGTTCCTTTATTCTTGAGATCTAGTTTATAAACCTTGCCAGTACCCCCACTTCCAAGTAAATTAACCTCTTCCAAATTACAGATTTCCTCAACCTCAAGATCTGTTGGATGGAAAGATTCCAGTTTCCACTTCCCATCATTCTCAATGACTTTCTCCAAATTCTTCCTTCTTCTTGATTCTTCCCGCTTAAAGCTCCTATATGTTACAACTACCAATCCGGTCAGAAGTATACACAATAATGATAATATAACGGCTACAAGAAAGGTTTTCTTTCCCAGAACATATCCATGTTTGCCACTAAAGCTGCAAATTCCCAAACCATCTCGCCATTGGCTTTTTAAACTTCCATCAATACAAAGACCTGGATTATCATAGAAAGCCTTATTTCCAGCGATCATTAAAAGACCTGGAGGGACTTCTCCTGACAGCTGGTTCTTAGAAAAGTCAATGGAACTCAGCTTAAGAGCCTGTAAACCTTCTGGAATGAACCCTGTAATAAGGTTTTGTGATAGATTAAGAGAATTTAGAGAAGTTAATGAGGAAAGTGGTTCCGGAATTATACCACCTATTGAGTTCTGAGCAAGATCTATCTCCACCAATTCAGTGCAGTTACTGAGTTCATATGGAATAAGCCCAGTCAGCCCATTTTTTTCCAAATGCAAAGATGTTAAATGTTTGAGTTGTCCAATTTGAGATGGTATGTAGCCAGAAAACAAATTATTGAAAGCATATAACTTCTGTAAATGAGAAAGCTTTCCAATCTCAATAGGAATTTGACCGGAGAATCTATTGTTCTGCACATAGAGCTGAGTCAAACTACTTGAACTACCAATCACTGAAGGAATCAGTCCACTGAAATTGTTATCGGCAAAGTCAATGATGACAGCATTTGGTAGCCCCCATAATCCGTTGGCTATGGTTCCATTGAAACTATTTTTGCTGACCCTGAACCGTATTAATGTTTTACAAGTAGAATATGAATTAGGAAATTCACCAGAGAAATTATTATCTAAAGCCAGTAGGTACTGCAAATTATCGTTTTCACATAAGAACCTTGGGAATGCACCAGAAAAATTATTCTCTGATATGTCAAAACTATTGAGAGGAGAGAACCGACCGAGGTTTTGGGGAAATTCTCCTGAAAAATTATTCAAGTAAACAGAGAAGGCTTTGAGATGCTGTAAGTCTCCAAATCCTTCAGGTATTTCTCCCCAGAGATTATTTTGAAACAAATGGATCACTGTAAGGTTCTTCAGATTGCCCATTTCGGATGGCAGCTTCCCGAATATATTGTTTTGAGAAATGTCAATTTCTTGCAAGTTAGTGAGTTTTGCAATTTCAGGCGAAATCTCCCCAGTTAACTTGTTCTGGTAGAGTTCAATCTTGTAAAGGCTGGGCATATTTACAATTTCCTTAGGAAATTCACCTGTAAGTTTGTTCATGGAGAGATCTAAAGTTTCAAGTGCTCTCAATTCAAAAACCAAAGGAGGTATCTCCCCAGTGAAATTGCATCGTGCCAAGAAAAGATATGTCAAATTCTTTAAACTTCCAATATTCCATGGAATCTTTCCCTCATCAAAGTTATTCAAGGCTAGACCAAGTTGAACCAAATTTGATAGATTCCCAACCCACTCTGGGAATCTTCCAGAGAAGTAATTGGATGACAGATCAAGAATTTGTAAGTCCTTCAAGGGGGAAAGATCTGGCAACTGGCCGGCTAAGCGATTGTATGAAAGGTTCAGAAGTTGAAGACTAGTGCAGAGAACGAGTTCAGAGGGAATGGTGCCGGCAATGGAGTTTGATCCCATATCTAAAGATTTCAGACTCCGGAGACTGAAAACTGATGGAGAGATTTCACCAGAAAGGCTTTTGTTAGCAAGTGAGATTCCAATAACTTCCACTGAATTGGAATCACAAATGACACCAGAAAATGTACAGGGAGACTGGGAAGCTTTCCAGTTTTCCAGATAGTTCAAGGGATCTTCAAAATAACTTTTGAATTGGAGAAGCGCTTGGGTTTCAACAGCTCGGGATTTTGAGATTGGGAAGAAAGAAAACAGCAGCAAAGCAACCAAGAGATGGCAAAATATGCAGAGTTTTTCCATCTCTAAACGTGATAAGATTAAATCCATTGGGGATGAAGTTTCATCAACTTTGACTCTTTCCTAACTCAGATTGATTGACCTGTCAACAGAAAAAGAAAAAGAAAAAAAAAGAATAAGATAATAACATGAAGTAGCCATTATTATAATAGAATTTATTCACTACAAAGAAGCAAAAACAAAATATTGTTGTATAACCAGAGCAAAGTAGCAATTTTAAAAACACAGTGGGCTTAATTCATGTTTGTGGTCAATCAGAAGAATTGGGAGCATAGTAGATACAGCATATTAGTACAGAATACCAACTTCATCAAAATAGAAACTAGAAATAGTAGTTAATATTCAATGCAAGTTATCCTAAAGAAAAAATAGAATGAAAAAAGGAAAGATTTCAGCTAAAAGTTGTAGGAGAATCTTTTAGCCACGTCATCAACCATGCTTATGTGGCTAAATTGGCATGAGAAAATTAATATCGAGAAGTGGTCCACTGAACTTGTAGTTTCTATATGCTCCTACTTTTTAGATAAGTTGTCTTTTTTGCATTAGCATACGCTTGCCCTAGGCTAGATCAGTCTTTGAAAAAAGACTACTCCAGCTTTCTAATTAAGGGTTGATCAGTCATTGAGCCTTTAATTTAAAAGTTAACAAGCCGGGCAAAATTTTACGGGTGGCTTCACCCTCTGAACTAGGCATAAAGCCACACTATCTCGCCTGTCTTTTCACCATTTTGGACAAAGTTGGGCAATGAAAGCCTAAAGACTTTGTACGAGTGCTATAAAACATATGCAAGGAATAATTTAAAGGAATCTAACCCTCTGGACATTAACAAGGCATTCTAAAACCTAAAGGAGCGCTTTCTTCGTCTCTTGGTACAACCTCGGGGGGATAGTGATGGGATAGTTATCGCGGTCCTGGAGAGAGTGAACCGGGTGGAACAAGAGGTTGCTGCACTTTGTGGAGAGCATGCTGCCTTTCGAGGAGAGATGTTGGCTGATCACGGGGAGATGGCACGGCCGTCTCAAGAGTTGTCGGTCTTTAGAAAGGGTTTTGTTGCTCAGCCGAGAGATAGACAGGGTGATCTCTTTAAGCTTGGGGGGGTGAATTTATGTATGTGTGAGTGCATCACCGAGGATTTGTTTCGGACAAAGCCACAAACGACTGCCTAGTTAGGTTTTTTCTTTCTTAGTTGTATCTGAGGATTTAGTATTATGTTCTCCTCTTTTGTAAGTAAATAATATATAATTTTCTAATTCTGGTAATGATTGTTTTTCCTTGAGTACTGTGTCGTTCTTGCATATCAGTCTTGTCGGCAGTGTTTCATTTTTTCACGCTAATCTGCATAAATGTGTGTGTGTGTGTGTGTGTTTGGTTGGGTTTTTTTTTTAGGGAGGGGTACCTCTTCTTACCTCTCCTCTCACGTGCGTTGTTACAGATCGTTTGACGCAGAAGTTCTCCCAGGAATCGTTTGGGTCGATTCCGGCTTCAGAAGTCTCGATCCTTTCCGCAATGGATGTGAGGGAGATTCAAAGCCTCTACGTTTCTGACCCTTCCTTCCAACTTTGGCCGACAACCAACCATGAGCGGGCGACGTGTAATTTTCTCCTAATTTGGTTTTCTATAAAGAGCAATTTAAATGGGTCTTCACTTGCCATTTTGTAAGGAATTACGATTGATTTTCAGACGATATGGGGTTGTTCCTGCCCAAGTTCTTTCCAACTCCGTGGTAGCTTTCATAATGACATTTGTTCTCTTTTGTCGAAGGATGAAGATCCTTGGTCGATCGAACTGTTCAACCATTTCTTCTCCTTCAGAATCGGCAGGGACGGCTATCTTCAATTTGTCGCCGGTCCCAAGATCCATCTAGTAGGGCTTGAGAATAAGATAAAAGAATGGAAAGCAAAGATCCTGATGGGGTTCCTATGCGAGTGGTTCTGGGATCAGCACTGCTTCGGTGGAATGCGAGATAAAGAAAGTGAAGACACTTTCTGGTAATCTCAGAGATCACAAGGTGCTGATCGAGGATCAGCTCCCCTCGTTGTTTCAATATCTCGATCCGAACGTGATAGAGCGTATCATTCGGTTCAATCGTAGCGAGAGTATGATTGAAAGGTTGTGGGTATCATCCGATGCTCGGAAAGTGGCAAGAGAGAAGATTGCCAAGATGAGGACGGCTTCGAAGAAACAGTGGGGAAAAAGTGATCATTCCTTACTTGGGAGAGGTGAGGGTCGGCCTGCCCCCATTGTTTCGACCAAAGAAAGTGCTGAAGGTAAAAAGATTTTCTTCGTTTTAGTTGATTGTACGTATGAGTATGTGTTTATATTGTTTTGTTGTGTTAATTGAAGGGAGCGGCAAGGATATCTTCGAGTCGCGGTGCATCAGATTTCGGAGATTCTCTGGCGGCCCGTCCCTTGATTGGTAAGGTTTTCGCTGGGACTCCCCATGGAACTTCGTTCGTAGGTTTGTACGATCAAGCGGAGGCAAGTCGCTCTTCTCATCCAATCTCAATAGGAACCGAGCTGGAGAAGAAACAGGAGATTTTGAGAGAGTGGGAGGTGACGTTCATCGGAGGAAAGGAAAAGCTCTTGTTTCATAAGCTGAGATGCCTTCTCCTTCGAAAGGAGGGATTCCATTAGAGTGGTTGTTCTCTCATGACCGAGAGGTTGGAGTTTGGACGAGCAGTCCTTACACTCTTCTTGATAGGGAGACTGAGTGTTACCCTTTTACCACTTTGAATGGAGACTACCCGTCGACCTTGATGGAGACGTTTTGGTCTCTCAGCTTCGAAAAGCACCTGAGGATGATAGGCAAGTGAGATATGTATCAGACGATCGATCACTATAATGTTCTTGCATGAGGCTTCGTATTTTCTGGGGATTCTTTTGGATTAGGCTGAAGAGAAAATTGAGAGAGATGCCTTACATATAGAAAAATTGAGGCGAAGAGCCACCATGACCGACGAAAGGTTGAACCTGTATGTGGAGCAGAGGGAGTTGGAGGCTCGGGAACATGGGACCCTTCTTAAGGTGCACAAGGAGTTGAAAAAGAAGGTCAATTCTATGATTACTCGGGAGGAGCATGTTGAGGGCCTCTCCAGTCAAATTGTGGTTGACACATCTCTTGCTGTGGAGAGGTTTGTGAAACATGGATTGGTCAATCCCAAGTAGCAGGACATGGAGGAGTTCGGCACGTTGCTTTCAAATTTAGAGGGTGAAGAACATAAATCATCGAATGAGAAATCAGGTAGCCTCGGGTGAGCTGAAGAAAATGAGGAAGAGGGTGTTGAGGAATCTTTGAATGTACAGAGCTGGCGGGCGATCCCTTTTTAGCTTCACTTTTTTTTATGTTTACACGAACCTGTATGAAAATTTTATAATTCAGTTTATGTGAACATAGTTTATAGTATAAGAGATTTTTTGAAACTGGAGGGTTTATTACTTTGAGTTTTCTTTCTTGTATTCAACGATTGTTCTAGTTCATGAACAATTTTCTTCTCATTGTGATTTGTTGGCAAACGTAAGGGTATGCATTCATGCGCATCTCTCGCAGAGTTAATCGCTGTCAGGTGTAAACGTTATAGTTCGGACGCAAGACGATCGTTTATGCACCCTCACAGAGCCTATCGTTGACGGATGTCAATATGTCCCATAGGTCTCTGACAATTGTTAGACACCCCTCGCGAAACTTGTCGTTGTCGGGTGTTGACCTTATAATTCGAGAGCAGGACGATAGTTCACGCAACCTTGCGGAGCTTGCGATGTCAGATGCCAATGTGCCCCATAGGTCTCTGACAATCGTTAGACACCCCTCGCGAAGCTTCTGCTGGGTGTTAACATTAAAATTCGAGTGCAGAACGATCATTTGCACACCCCTTGTGAAGCTTGTCACTTTCAGGTTACGATATGTCCCATAGGCCACGTGCGATCGTTAAACACCCCTCACAGAGCTTGTCACTTTCGGGTGTCAATCCATCTCATAGGACTCTGACAATCGTTAGACACCCCTCGCGAAGTTTGTTGCTATTGGGTGTTAACATTATGATTCAGGAGCAGGACAATCCCTCGCGGACCTTGTCACTGTCAGGTGTTCATACATCTCATAGACTTCTGATAATCGTTAAACACCTCTCGTGCAGCTTGTCACTGCTAGGTGTTAACATTATGATTCGGTTGCAGGACGATCAATTGCACACCCCTCGTGGAGTTTGACGTTGTCTGGTACCGATAAGTCCCATAGGCCACGAGCGATCGTTTGATGCCCCTCGCGGGGCTTGTCACTGTTGGGTGTTAACGTTACATTTTGGGAGTAGGACGATCGTTCGTACACCCCTCGCAAAGCTGGTAGCTGACAGGTGTTGATACGTCCTATAGGTCGCTAGCGATCGTTTCGCTGAATAATCAGTTTTAATCTCCAACAGTGCTAGTTTTCCACAAGTGGTGGTGTTTGATCCCCAAGCTCAACTGTATTGGTTCTCCGAGCGCGACAGTGATGGGTCCCCAAGTGCGACAATGTCGCGTCCCCGAGTGTAATAGTGTCGATTCCCTGAGGCATAAGAGAAAACAAACGAAGAAAGCATTGTCAGAGAGATGTCGAATATGTAAATCCCAAAATTCTAAGTGCCATGCATGTAAATAGACTCCATTATTTTGAAAGAAAAGTAAGGGTATACAAAACAACCATTCTGCCTTCTATAAGTATGGATAATTTTAAGGAAAAAGCTTTTTCAGATTGTCGTTGCTCCAAGTTGGAGGGAAATCGTTTCCTGCGAACGCCTTCAATTTGTATGCTCTAGGCTCGATTCTTTGATAGATCCTCTCCCCTGGCGGCGGGGTCAGCTTTTTTCAGTACTAGGTCTCCTGGAGCAATCATTTTCCCGCGAACGTGTTTGTTGAAATATTTGGTTGTCCTTCGCTTGACTCCTTCTAGCCGAAGGAATGCGTTTGCTCGATTCTCCTCGGCAAGGTATAAGGCTAGCTTAACTCCGTCGTTCGCCTCACACCATTCTTCAAGGTTTTTCTCGTAGAAAATCGAGGCACAGGATACCCTCTGGTTGTAATTGTTGTATTTGATCGGTAGCATCGCCT